CTCTGAGAAGAAGAGTGTGTTTACGTACAGTTACGGGGGAAATGGCCGTTGTACGGAGAGGCTATCGTCGAACTGAAGTTAGGAAATTTGAAGTTCCAGCATAGCGTTTTAGTGGCAGATATTGAAGATGACTTCATCTTGGGCATGGATGTGATTCGTCAACATGGATTTTCGTTCGATCACCAGAGAAATATCTTAAATATTGGAAATGAAGAGTTCATGTTATCTCCAGACGAGGAACCAGGCAGAATGGATGTAAGATCAGCGGAAACTGTGGTGATACCTGGTAATACCGAGAAGATCGTATTCGGTAAAGTGGAGAAAATCGCTGGGTGCTGTGTTGGACTGGTAAAAAGTGGCGACAAGAAACAAGATAGGTACTTAGTAGGAAAGTCATTGGTGAACACCGACAAGAATATACCGATCAGAATTGCGAATGTTTTCCCGAATTGTGTCAAGATTCAAAAAGGTGACAAGATAGCCATCTGCGAACCTGTAAGAAGTGTCACCCGATGTGATGAAGTGTCGTCAGCTGTTACACAAATGGCATCCAAAGAAACACTAAAACATCTAGAACAGCCATGGGATCACTAACACCTGAGGAGAAACAGAAGGCCAAGCAGTTCCTGCTAAAGCATGGCAGTATTTTTGAGAAGAACAACAGTGGAAGAACGGATTTTGTGAAGCACCGGATTAATACTGGTCATGCTCAGCCGATTCGACAACGTCCTAGAAGGGTGCCCCTTTCCAAACAACAAGAAATGGAGACAATAGTAGATAAGATGTTAGAAGATGGAGTAATCGAAGAATCATCAAGTCCATGGTCATCTCCTGTTGTTTTGGTGACGAAGAAAGATGGTAGTACACGATTCTGCGTGGACTATCGGAAGCTCAATGACGTCACTAAGAAGGACAGCTACCCACTGCCACGTATAGACGACACGTTAACCACACTGGCAGGTTCGTGCTGGTTCTCCACTCTCGACTTAAAGAGTGGATACTGGCAAGTTGGTCTAGACGAGGAAGACAAAGAAAAAACGGCTTTTTCTACAGGAAACGGACTATATCAATTCAAGGTCATGCCGTTTGGATTATGCAATGCTCCAGCCACTTTCGAACGTCTCATGGAGGTGGTGTTAAGAGGATTAACTTGGAAAACGTGCTTGGTTTACCTCGACGATGTATTGGTTATGGGAAGAACTTTTGAGGAGCATTTGCGAAATTTAGAAGAAGTCTTCGGCCGCATAAGGAATGCTCACCTGTACTTGAACCCGAAGAAGTGTAGCTTATTCCAGCGACAAGTGGAATTCTTGGGTCATGTAGTTTCGGCAGACGGAATTTACACCAATCAGAAGAAAATCGCTGCAATCAAGGATTGGCCTAAACCTCGCGACAAACATGAACTTAGAAGTTTTCTGGGTTTATGCACCTATTACAGAAGATTTGTCAAGGGATTTGCCAATATAGCTGCACCCTTACATAGACTTACAGGTGATGAAGTCGGCTACGAATGGAACACCGATTGTGATGTAGCCTTTGGAAGACTTAAGGCGGCTTTATGTTCAAGTCCTATTCTAGCCTACCCGCAACAACAAGGGAGGTATATCCTGGATACCGACGCCAGCAATATCGGCATAGGTGCAGTGCTATCACAAGTGCAAGATGGCGAAGAACGAGTGATAGAATATTACAGTCGAGTTCTATCCAAACCAGAAAGGAATTACTGCGTTACCCGGAAGGAGCTGCTAGCAATTGTGAAGGCAGTTGATCATTTTCATAAATATCTGTACGGCCAAGAATTTTTAATTAGGACAGATCATGCGGCTCTCAAGTGGCTTATGGAGATGAAACAACCTGAAGGTCAAATAGCACGATGGCTCGAGAAGCTCCAACAGTATCACTTTACCATCCAACATCGTGCTGGAAAAATGCATGGTAACGCAGACGGTTTATCCAGAAGACCCTGTCAAACCGATTGTAAGCACTGCTGTAAAACGGAACAACGTGAAGGCACTGTCATGATAAGGAGTTTTAAACTTGGAACCGATGAACAGTGGACGACGACACAATTGAGGAAAGATCAAATGGAAGATCCAGACATCGGGGCAATACTACGGCTCAAGGAAGGTAACGGCGAGAGACCACCGTGGCAGGATATTGCGGACAGAGGGCTCGTTTTCAAAGCTCTCGGAGAATGGATTGTTAAAGCGCACGTGGGAAAGTGCGGATGGCAGGACAGTAACAACTCAGTTACTGGTACCAAGGAAGAAAGTTACCCAGGTATTGGAAGAAATTCACGGTGGTAAAACTGGAGCCCATCTTGGAGTAAACAAGACCTTGAGCAAGCTGAGAGATCGCTTTTACTGGGTGGATTATTGCGAAGATGTCAAGAAATGGTGTCGACAATGTAAAATTTGTGCAGCCAGCCAAGGACTGAAAAAAATAACTTTGGACTGCCATTCGAAAGAATCCCTGTTGACATTGCAGGCCCATTCCCTGAAACGCACAAGGGCAACAAGTACGTTTTAGTGGCGATGGATTATTTCAGTAAATGGCAAGAAGTTTTTGCCATTCCAAACCAAAAAGCATCGACTCTAGCTGAAGTATTAGTCAATAATGTGTTCAGTAGATTTGGAATTCCTTTAGAGCTTCACACTGACCAAGGAAGGAACTTCGAGTCAAGACTGTTCCAGAAGATGTGTGATCTGCTTTGTATTCACAAGACTAGGACAACAGCTTTACATCCGCAGTCTGATGGGATGGTCGAGAGATTCAATAAGACCATTGAAGAACATCTCTCGAAAATGGTGGATGAACATCAAAGAGATTGGGATCAGCATATACCACTATTCCTAATGGCATATAGAAGTGCAGTTCACAACACCACCGGACTTTCACCATCGAAGATTTTATTTGGTCGAGAATTACGGTTGCCTTGTGACTTGGTGTTCGGATCACCAGACGACAGCACCACGAACGTAGAGGACTACGCGGATGAACTGAAGGAAAGGTTATTGGGAATTCATAAGGCCGTGAGAAGTAAGATTACGCTAGCCAGTGACCGGATGAAAGCTCGTTACGACCTCAGAGCTAATTCTACGGGATTTCAACAGGACGATATGGTATGGTTATATAACCCACAGCGCAAGAAAGGGAGGTCCCCAAAGTTAACTCCAGCATGGGAAGGTCCTTATACAGTCATCAAGAGGATAAATGATGTTGTGTACCGGATTCAACGCAGCCCTAGAAGTAAGATGAAAGTAGTTCATCTGGATCGATTGAAGAGATACCAGACAGGAAACCTTGATCGGGACGATCAAATTTGAGAAGGGGGCAATGTCAAGGTGTATTACTGGTTGCATAACTGCATACTGCTAAAAATCGCACCGTGCATTGAGGAACCTGGCGCATTCGCCAGAAAGTAAAGAAAATTATAGAATTCTTTAGAAAAATCTAGAAACAACCGCCAGGGGGTATATAAGGCCCGCGCTTTGACAGTTGGACAAGTTTAAGTTTAAAGTTTAAAGTTTGAAGTTTGAAGTCTGAAGATAATCTGAAGTTTGAATAATACCGCGAAATACCGTTAGAGTAATACTAGTTGCATAAGTTGTGTTGTAAATAGTATAAGTTGTGTGTACAGAGTGAAACAAATAAATTCGTTAAGTATTTTATCGTGAGTTTAAATAGTGGACCCACGGAATCCGTAACAATATTCAATAATAATATCGAATCTATAAAAGGTAATAACTCATCTTTACCTGTAGCCTCGAAATAGCAGCTGATTCAAATTATACAGCAAGACTTAAATAATCACCATTTCTAAAAGCTGGGATACAACACAGAGCGTCAAAACAGAGTGAGGTTAAGCACGGAGAGAGTTGACAGAAGCGATGTTGACAGCGCGCGCCTCCACAGAATAGTAACAGGGTTGTGTCGAACGATACCAGGGTTGGCGACCAGGGAACGTAAAAATTACGCGACAAATAAACTATCCGGCCTGAACGAGAGGGAATCCGGTGATGATAGGCCAGACATCATATATTATATATAAAAAAGACATGTAACGAACTAAAAACGTTACAACTGTATTTTCTTTCTCTGTACATGCCTGGCACCCAATATCTGTATTTTTTTGTTTATTGTTATCGATTAGTTTTCTCTCTAGTGAAATACCTTACCCACGACTGCTCTCCGATGAAAAGCCACCGTTCGAAGTGGTAGTTCTAAAAAAACGCTACATAAGGTTACTAGTAATTGAATTGCCTAAATTCGATGGCAATTACGATAATTAGTAGGAGTTTAGGGATTCATTCGATTCTTTAATTCGCCAAAATCAGACAATCAGTGACATACAAAGGTTTCACTATTTGCGTTAAGTTTATCTCGCGGTGCCTTAGAAATTCTTGCAAGTCTAGAGTGACAACTATACGGCAGCCTGGTATTTAATTTGCAAAAGGTATAACAATAATCGCATTTTGACCCAAAACCATGTTAAAGCATTATTCAACTTAGACAAGATAAACGAAGAGTCGTCATTTGCACTTAGAAAAATTATAGACAATGTAAAAAAACATTTTAGAGCTCTTAAAATCCTAAAAGAACCCACGGAAAATTGGGACACCTTGATTATTCACTTAATATCTACAAAATTGGATCCCGTTTCTCTTCGGGAATGGGAACAAAAAAAGTCATCCTATGACAAACCCACTCTCGAGAACATGCAAGATTTTCTAAGGGATCGCGCCGATTTTCTAGAATCGTTGAATAAAGACACTAGGAAATTTTCTAAAAATAAGGTAGAATCAAATAGAACAAGATCTTATTTGAATATGGATGTATCTTGTCCTGTTTGAAATTTAGAATATCACATTCAGGACTGTGCGGATTTTCTAAAATTAAGCGTCAACGATCGTCTTAATCGCGTAAAAAGGAAAAGGCTGTGCATTAATTGTTTGTGACCGGGACATTTAGTAAAACAATGTCGTTCTAGCTCCTGTAAAATGTGTAAAGGTCGTCACAACAGCCTTTTGCATTTTTCTGACACTACCAAAGACAGTCAAGAAAAAGAGAAATCAAATTCGGAAAGTATAGTTTGTTCCGCACAAAATTCAATTTTTAATAATCAGGTTTTGTTATCAAGAGTTACCGTTCGTATATTTGATAATAATAACAGAATGCATATAGCACGAGCTTTACTAGATTCAGGGAGTCAAAATAGCTTTATTACTACCAGTTTCGCAAAAAGATTAAATCTAGATTTATCTCATATTGATATAAAGGTTTGTGGTTTAAATCAAGCCGAGTCAGCAGTTAAACACTAAACTACTTTGGTTATTCATTCATGTCACAACAATTTTAGTACCGAAGTTTCATGTCTAGTAGTGCCTCAGATTGCTGGTACATTACCCAACTTTCCTGATGATTACAATCCTTTGCAAATTCCTGGCCATTTACAACTGGCAGATCCAGACTTTTGTAAGGCAGAGAAAATAGATATTCTTTTAGGCGCTGGCGCTGATCATTTTTGGCATCTCATATGTGTAGGGCAAGTAAAACAAGCAAACCGCGGCGCTATTCTGCAGAAAACTAAGTTAGGGTGGATCATCTCTGGTTCTGTTAGTTTGAAGTTACCAAAGATTGTCCAGTGTAATTTTTTAACTAATTTTAATATTGACAAACAACTCTTTCGATTTTAGGAGATCGAGGAAGTTTCTACTTCAAGGCCATTGTCCCAAGAAGAAAACATTTGTGAATCACATTTTGTAGAAACGGTTTGTCGAACCGACTCCGGTCAATTTATTGTGACCATTCCTTTGAAGGAGAATCCTGAGGTTCTTGGAGATTCGTATTACAACGCGAAAAAGCGACTTTTATCTTTAGAGCGTAAATTTAAACGTAACCCGGAGTTTAAAAAAGATTATGTCAAATTTATAAACGAATATCTCGCGCTGGGGCACATGTCAAAGGTCGGTAATGAAGATTCGAGAAAGTCATATTTTCTACCTCATCATGGTGGTATCATAGCTTACCACCAAGCTACGCGTAGTCTTTGACGCTTCATGCATCACTAGTTCTGGCTATTCTTTGAATGACATACAGAGAGTGGGAGCAACTTTCAGCCCGATTTATTTTCTGCTCTTATTCGATTCAGAAAATATAACTTCGTTATAGCGGCAGACGTGGGAAAAATGTACCGCGTGTGCTTAGTAAATCCTGATCAGCGAAGTCTGCAGCGTATTTTATGGCGCGAAAACCCTGATAGTCCAATTGAAATTTTTGAATTAGCAACTATCACATACGGAATGTCAGCAGCTGCATTTTTGGCCATAAGATGTCTACACAAAATTGGTTTGGATTGTTGTGATGAATCTCCAGTAATTTCTGACGTTATCAAAAATCATTTTTATGTCGATGATTTGCTTAGCGGAGGTGATTCCATAGATGACGTTATTTTTATAGCCAATGAGGTAACACGATATTTGAAAAAGGGTTGTTTCAAGTTAAGAAAATGGATCTCTAATTCTCCGGAAGTTTTGGCGCACATTCAATCCAACAAAAAATCAGATATTATTGATTTCGGCGCGCGCGAAAAATTCAAAAACGTTAAGTTTAATTTGGAATGCTCAAACCGACAGCTTAGCTTACAGTATCAATGATTCTACAAGTAAAAATGTCACTAAACGTTCAATTTTGTCAGAAACCTCCCAGATTTTTGACCCTATGAGTCTCTTGAGTCCTTCAATTATCATAGCAAAGCTAATCCTGCAGGAACTGTGGTCCGAAAAGTTGTCGTGGGACGAAAGTCTTCCAAATTATTTGCACAGCAAATGGCTACAATTTCATAATGAGTTGAGATCATTAAATAGTTTAATAATCAAGCGACAGGTCACGTGTTCAGATTCAAATGCTATCGAGATTCACGGTTTCGCAGATGCATCAATGTGTGCCATGGGGGCATGTGTTTATGCAAGAGGTAAAAATAGCGATGAAGTCATCGAAATCGAGTAGGTTTGCGCGAAGTCAAAGGTTGCCCCCCTTAAAATACAAACAGTGCCTCATTTGGAACTGATTGCTGAACTTTTGTTGGTGCAACTTGTTGAGAAAGTTAAAACTTCATTGAATTCTTGCATAGAGCATGTAGTTTATTGGCCAGACTCCACAGTAGTTTTAGGTTGGCTCAAAACCGAACCCCATCTTTTGCAAACATTTGTAGCCAATCGCGTTGCAAGAATTCGAGAACTCACAGAGGCGCGGAATTGGCGACACGTACCAACTTCTGAAAATCCTGCTGATACAGTATCTCGCGGAGTTATGCCCAAAGATTTAGCGGTACTTGATCTCTATTAGAACGGTCCCACTTTCTTAAAACGTGATGAATCTACTTGGCCACTTTTGCCTGACTTGCAAAACGAGCTTCCCGATTTTAAAAAGACCGTGCATTTACATGCGGAGATATCAAATCCGTCATTTTCGCTTTTTGAGAAATATTCCGATAT